AGAAATGTGTCTTTTGAGATCTGTTCAAAAAATCACCTTTCTCAGCTGGGATTTAGAAACTACACATCAGCTATGAGTCTATTTGCTTTAAAGATACAGACACTAACCCAGCTAGAGGAAGAAATTAGCGACAGACAGCCAAGGGATTGCATGGGGGGATGTAAGAAGTCCCTCTGCTCTTGGGGAGCATCTTTCTCAGTCTCTTTCGTGGTATGCCTCTGTCCCACCATGGGTTCAGTCTTATCTTCTGAGACTCTGCACAGCCCGAGAGGGAGACTGTTGTTTACCTTGCTATGGCAGACCATGACTCTTACATTTTTAACAGATGGCAGAATGTTCATGTGCCATACTGTCCGGGGTCTGGCTTGCCATCTTTCCATTGGTACAAAAGTATGGCTGTTCTTCCTCCTCTTGCCTTCTTCACACTCCTGAGCTGTCAGTCCCTGATGCATCCCCCACACGTAAGGTGAGATCTGGGCTTAACATAAGAAACATCCAGCCTAACAAACCCACCCAGCCTTGTACAGAACTGCAGGGCAATGGGACCAGGGCAGACCGAAATACCTGTTCACTCTCCCAGTCCTCTGTATAGCCATTAGCAACAAGTACAATTTCATCTCACATAAATGCTACTTTCATTTTGTGGGTTCTATAGCTAAACTCTGTTTTGCTGGTAACACGTGGCCTTGTATCATGTATAACATATATATATGTTATATATATCATATATAACATATCACATATCAGTGTATTTCATTTGAATGTTTTATGCTGAGCACTGGAGCATCAGGAGGACAGGAACTGCCCCACTCCTAATAAATTCAACAGCAAACCCCACTTCAGAGCAAACAGGAGCACAGTCTCGTCCATCACTTTAATTAATATAAAGACTACAAATATGTTCTTACCTTCTGTGGTTGGATTTCTTTCTAATTTCCTCTTGATAGCTGCATAATTCTTCACTGACTCTGGCAAGTTCTTTAAGAGCCTTTATAAATATAAAAAACAGTCTTTTAATATAAGCCTTTCACATGGTACCTCCAGAATTATTTTGAAACTTGTAGCAATTTGCATTTAAGACTGATGGCAGAAAAGGGCAGCACAAGGAGAGACACAGAAATGCCCCCAGTTTATGAATGGAGTTAAAGAGCACACTGTTAGCACATTTAAACAGGGAGAAGACACTCATTGATAGCAAACCCAGGAGGAAGTAGAGCCAGTGCCTTGCTGGAGAGCTAAAATCAGGTGGATCAGTTCTTTAGGTTAACCTGGCAGGCCAAACCCCTCAGGATTTTCCTCACGCTTGTAACTGAAACATGCTCATACTTTACTTACTATGTTGAGATCACCAATATAATTCTTGGCATTTTTCTTGGAAGTGTTGATGCTGAGGCTGTCTTCAGGTTCCTGTTGGTTCTCAAAGCCCAGATTGTCCGTTAGCAGAGTGTTGTTTCTGCTCTTGCCTCTGGTTTCTTTGCATTCGTACCCTGTTTTACTGAGCAAACTCCCTTTTTCCATCCTGTCGTTTCCCACATTGTGTCGATGGTTCAGCTCCACTGTGTCACTCTCTCCCGAAGCAGGGGAACGCATGGAGAGCTGCAGCACCTTGCTCTGAATGGCCTTGTTATCATGGACATTCATATTGCTCTCCCT